TGAGGCTAAAAGTAAATTTCGATGTAGATTCTGCTCGGTCTAATAAACCTAGCGATATACGCTAACGGCTACAGCTCAAGACACTCGAACCACTTATTGGGTTTCTTTGAGTCTTTGAACAGACCATCCCCGTTTTTGAATGCCGTATCTGCGTGGTTTAGCTGCGGTCTGTAGAAGCGATCCAGGTAGTGATTCCCGAATTGGCTTTCATCAAGACCACCCAAGCAGCTCTGAAACTCGACGAAACCGTCATTCTTTTTCGACTTGTGTGGTATCACCGTTCCTGCCAAAATATACGAGACTTGGGTCATCGAGAAAAGTCCAAAAAAACTGTCGCTGCACATCGCTGCTGACACATTACCGCGATATGCTTCTTGAGCGGCTACAAATGCCGCATCAATAGGCGGAGTGCTGTGTTTCCCGCCCTGATACGTGGTTGATCTGCGTGACTTGGACGCGGGGCACTGACCAATTAACTCGAGCAACTCCACAGCGACATCGATGGTCTCCTCGCGATTGCAGTAGTCAACGATAAAATCCGCAGCCATACTCCCTGTCATCGGAGCGCTAATTGCCACCCACGAAGTCGTCTCACTGAACTTACATGCCCCCTTAGCGAGCGCGTGAGCCACCACGAGGCCACCCATCGAGTGCGTCACAATGACCGTGTTGTCGACGATCCCAGCATCAACGTTGCTGGTGCTGCTCATGGAGAGAGAAAAATCGCAAAACTTCTTGTGAAGTGTGTCGTTCCTCCAACCAGCATCAACAGTATTGAGGATAGCATATTTGATTTCGGAACAGCAAGGGGCGTGGCCGTGAATATCACCGAGCCTCCCACTCGTCAGCTCCGATGTGTCCTGCAACTCCGCCTCCTCGTTGGGGTTGCCCAAACCGTGGAGGAAGATGCACGGCCGAGGCGTGGAGAGACAGGTTTCACACGTCGTTGTCTCCATTTCCATGTGGACCTCTTCCTTGAGCATTCTCGACGTGCTAGACGGTATCTTATCAGTTACCAAAGCGAATGCGGTAGGCGTCAACGAAATGGGCTTCTCGACAGGTTCACAGGACGTGGGTCCATCAGTCAAATGTGGCTTCAAAATATCGACGGAATCATCAAGATATTCTACAGTAACGTCCAAATCGCTACTATTGACCAAGACACCAGTCTCGCCCGACGCGCAGATAGCATACTGAGTTCCAGCAAACGTCGTCTTGAGCAGGTTTCCACTTGGACACTCGACAGTTTTATCACCGATCGAGGCACTTGGAATGGGTGTAGCGTTATTGAGTGCTGGTAGAATTTCGTCGAATGGTAGTAAGCAGAGTGGGAGTGTCACGTGGTAACGTGGAAAC